AGGGGCACCCTTCCCAGCCAGGCTGGTGGGGAGGCATCAGAGCACATAACATTTATAAACCATTACATAATACAGGTTTTAAAGAAAACCAAATGTCCAGCCCTTAAACCAGGGTCACAGCCAGGCAGCACCTCCAAAATACCAACCCCAGGCTTAGAATAGAAATAGAAGGGGAAAAGAGAGTTAAAAATAGAAGAAAAGGCAAGCGTGTTCAGCTGTGAGAGTAAGCAGATTAGCAAGACAAAAAGAGGAACAGATTAACAGAGATTAATACAACTTTATTGGAACTGGCTAGTACAGATTTCCTCCTACATCTCAGCAAGGATTCCCCCCTTCCCTTCCCCAGCAGGCACAAGCCCTGGCCCTGCACAGTTTGAGTTTCCAGCAGTCCCCCGGAGCCCCCACCACCCCCCTGCCCCCAGGGAGCCCCCTGCCCTTCACCACAGCAGGATGTGAAGGAGAACAGCCCCCCGAGGCCATGCCAGCCCAGCTCTGCCTTCCAGCAGCAGACAAGAAGCCATCAAGCTCAGGAATGCAGCAGAGGAGCAGCCAGGGGGCTGGGTGGGCTCCAAGCATTGCCAGGGGGCTGTCTGGGGAAGGAAAGAGGGGTCGCCCTCAGGACAGATCCCACCCAGTGCTGCTCTGGAAGCAGGACACCCCGACCAGCTCTCCCCAAGGTAAGAGCAGCTCCCAGCTCACCTGTCCCCTCCTAGCCTCCAGGGGACAAAGGCAACTGTTCCACCCTGCTCCAGAGGCAGAGCGGAGGAGGTGGAGGCACAGGGGAGGGTTCTTGGGGTGAAACAAACCCCAGCTGGGCAGTGACCAGCCTGCACACCAGACTGCTGTGCAGGACCCCCTCCCACCCACGCAGCTGCTGGGGCTCACGGCATCACTCGAGGGCTGGCCAAGGCTCCCAAATGTGCTGTCACACCTGTGCCCTGTCCCCAGCAGCCCCTCAGCAGCTGTGACCTGGCCCACGGGGTGATGCTGTCTGGGGAAGGACTGGGCAGGACAGAGAAGTCCCTGTGAGCACCAACACGAGGGCAGAGAACCTACACCTGCACCAGGAGCTACGTATGGGGGCAGGTTCACAGTCACCACGGCCCCAAATGTCTCTGGGGTACAGAACAGACAAGCAGGAGGGACAGTGCAGGCCACAGGTGGCTGCTGTGGCTACTTCTTCTCCTGCTTCTGCTGCTGGTACCTCCTGAAGTGGGTCTGGATGGTGATGGCTGCCCTCTCAGATGGGTCAGTGACATGGCTCTCCTTGCTGGCATCAGGGGTCACGTCACCTGGGGGACAAACAGCATCACAGTGAGCACAGACAGAGCCGTGCCAGCAGCCCTGAGCAGGCTCCCGTGGGGTCAGTGGCCCCCCATTCTCAGACAGGACAGCTGTCCTTGCTGCAGAGCTCATGGCATGAACCCACAGCTCCGCCAGCCCACAGGGACATCAGAGGGCAGAAGGAGCAGGGAACTGGAGGCAGAGCAAAGCCCAGCCTCCCTGGCACTGCTAAGCCCTCTCTTTACCCAGCTCCACTCCCCGAAGGCAGCAGCTTCCCCACGTTTAATCAGCACGCATGATGCTCACTTACTTTCGCGCACACAAATAAGATTAGAAGGAAGCCCGGCCCCGCGCAGCAATAAAGCTCTCACGCTGACAAATGGGAGCCCTCCCCACTCCCGCTTAATGTGGCATTAGGGAAGTATTGTGAAATTCAACAGGAACTGCATCAAAGCCACTCAGCGGTGCTCCTCTAAGCCAGCGTGTCACTGCTAAGCACCCCCCGAGCAGCCATCAGCAACCCTGGGGCCAGATGCTGCTGGATAAACTCACCGCTGCCACCTGAACCCGCTTCCCTTCCCTGAAAGAAACTGCGGAGTAAAAGGATAAATAAAAGGAGGGAGTGGGCTCCCCCCTGCCCTGCTCAAGGAGACGCTGCCAGCTGGGAATGCTGCCCAGGGCAGAGGCTGAGGACAGGCACTGCTGGCAGGGTGAGCCCTGGCTCTCAGCTCTGCCACAGGCTCACCTCAGCCCCTGGCACCCCCAGACCTGCCCCTGTTTGCAGTGAACCCCCAGGCCATGAGGAGGGGGGCACCCCCAGCCCCCACGAGCGTTTATCCAGGAATAGAAGGGCTCAAATCCTCTTTGCTGAGCCCTGCAGAGCCTCGAGACAAGCCCAGAGAGAGGAGGGGGAGAAGGCCAGGTGGTTTTCCCAGGACAAGGAGAAGGGGGCTGTTTTATGACCCCAGCTGAGGCAGTGGGGCAGGTTTCCTGGGAAGGGCTGCACACACACACGTGAGGGGTTCTAAATTCAGCCCTGCAGCACTGGGACCTTCACTGGCTGAGGCTGCACACACAAACAAATATCTCATCATCAAATAGCCCTCAGTAACGTCACAGGCAGATCTGTGGAAGGAGAAAGAGGCCAAGAAGGATGCAGGTACTGCAATGCCTGCTCTCCTGCTGCATCCACAGCCCCAGCCATGAATTCCACTTGTTGCTTGTGTTGATTGGGGTTTTTTTCCTGCCTCCCTGCCTGTTCCACACTCACCTTTCTCTCCAGAAAGCGAGTAGATGCTGTTGTGCCGGGAGTTCCTGCCTCTCTAGAAAGGGAGAGAAATAAAATAAAATTAGCTCTATCCCAGGCAGAGGCAGTGAGGGCAGTCCTTTAAAGGCCAGCCAGGAACCCTTCCACTCTCCATTCCCTTTAGGAAACTGGAACATCTCACTGTGGTTCCCTTAAAGAGCACTGATTAATTAATCTGCATTTATGAAATGTCCTCCAAGGAGAGGCAGGAAATAGCTTTGCATCCAAACTCAGAGCTGTGGATGGATGTTGGCACAGGCTATCCTCACTGGATCTGCAGTTCAAACCAGCAAGGAGACAGCCCCACACCATGAACCTGCAGCTCCTGGGCTGCCAGGTCTTCCAGGAGATAGTTCCCTTTCTAAAAATAAGCTTGAATTTGTCTGCAGATACCTCTCCAACATTTTCCAGTTTACCCTGCCCTCCTGGCATTACATTGCCCCCTTGCCTAAACCCCCAGGCTGCCCCTGCACCAGCACTGCCACCCCCTGAGCCAGCTGTCCTGGCAGTGCCAGCATCCTTCACCTCACATGGCTGTCCTGGCAGTGCCAGCATCCCTCACCCCACCTCGCTGTTCTGGCAGTGCCAGCATCCTCACCTCATTGTCCTGGCACTGCCAGTGTCCCTCACCTGGCTGTTCTGGCAGTGCCAGCATCCTCACCTCGCAGTCCTGGCAGTATCAGAGTCCCTCACCCCACCTGCCTGTCCTGGCAGTGCCAGCATCCTCACCTCACTGTCCTGGCAGTGCCAGGGTCCCTCACTTGGCTGTCCTGGCAGTGCCAGCATCCTCACCTCACCTCGCTGTCCTGGCAGTGCCATTGTCCCTCACCTGGCTGTCCTGGCAGTGCCAGTGTCCCTCCCCTCCCTGTCCCAGTGTCCCTCCCCTCCCTGTCCCAGTGTCCCTACCCTCGCTGTCCCACTGTCCCTCCCCTCGCTGTCCCACTGTCCCTCCCCTCCCTGTCCCACTGTCCCTCACCTCGCTGTCCCGGCTGGTGCGGCGGCTCTGGGACACGCACTGGACCTGCCAGGGCAGGGGCTGGTACACCAGGTAAGGCAGGGGCTCCTCACGGAACAGGTTGGTCCCCAGCTGCCCACGGGGAAGGTTTTCCAGCAGGGAAGAGGACAGGAGAGGAAGAGGAGCAGAAAGAGCTGCTCAGCCACACTCAGCAGCAGAGAGCACAGCCCTCCCCTGCCCCTCAGCGTGACCCCCGAGCGCTCCCAGCCCTCGGCCCGGGCTGCTTTGGGAGGCACAGGAGCCATCCCAGCAGGGCAGGCAGGAGCTGGGATGGCTCCTGTGCCTCGTCCCCCAGCCCAGGCAGGTGAGAACAGCCCTGCAGGGGCAGACTCACCTGTGTGACCACCCTCACCACGAAGAACAGCGCTGTCATCAGGGTGCCCAGCATGGCCAGGGCTGTGCAGGGCTCCCTGTGCCCGGGAGCTCTGGGAGCAGCACTCCAGGACCTGCACAGCCAGGACTGAGCTGTGCCTCCTTGGCAGGCAGAGGCCAAGCCCTTAATGAGCTTACAGCCCTGCTCAGCCCGCTGAAGTAATCGGGCCCTGCCCTTTTGCTCTTCTAATCGCAGAGTTTCTCCAACACACGCTGCTGGCATTCCAGGAAAGGCAAATCCTCTGCTCCAGGAGCAGGGACAGACAGCCCAGCCCAGCCTGGGGTCACACCTGCTCCCTGGGGACCCACCTGAGCCCACCCAGGGGGACCCCCCACTCCAGCTGGCATTTGGGACGTGCTCAGCAGCGGGGTGGGAGACTTGTCCCCAGCAGTGCCTGCCTGGAGCTCCTCCAGCAGCTCTGAGCCAGCTCTCCAGAGGGCAAAGACACACCAGGGCAGCTCAGGCACAGCAAAAAAAGCCTGGTGGTGGTTTGTTTTGTTTTTGAGGACGAGGCTATCAGCCCCACCTTGTGCACAAGCAGCTGATGCACCCCCTGCTCCCCCTGTGCATCACCAGCTCCCACAGGAGATGGGAGCAAGGGAAGAACACGTCACCAAGCCTCCCTAGCTCCTGGTGAGAGTGTCACTCAGCCATCCCAGCAGCACCCAGCACTGCTGGGGCAATTCCTGGCTGCTCCCAAAGCCAGGGGAAGCCAGCAGCCACAGCCAAGCTGCAGTGAGACATCTTTAACAGATCCCGGGCTGCCAGAGCGACGCCTTGTTTTTGTTTGGTAGTTTTGGCTTTCAGCTTCCTTCTCTCTGCCTCTGCACTTGCTACCCCGTCCAGATACTTAAAGGAATAATGGTAACAAAGCCACAGAGAGCTTAAGTGGTCTTGGGAACTGCCAGAAATGACCTTGACAAGACAAAACATGAGAGAGCCCAGAGCCAAGGGGAGATGTGAGAGGTAAGTACAGCTGGATACCCAGCTACAACAAAACAGAGTGACAACCACCAGCATCATACAAAACAGGCTCACGTTGATTTAATTTATACAAAACAGATACAGCTGCTATCCCGGGTTTTAACAGGAAAAAGGAGCATGTTTCAAACCAATTATTGTTAAAAAACCTGGCATTTCCCTGCATCATTAATGCATGGCTCTCCCAAAACACAGAATGGATTCAGTGATATGGCTTTGGCCACAGCAACCACAACTGTGGGGTCCCTTCTAAAACCCCTGACTGGAAGGACTGCCATATGTCCTGTGAGTGCAGCAAACTAAAAGCAAAATCCCTGCAGGAAGGGGTTTGTGCAATCCAACAGCAGAGGGGATACCCGTGTCTGGATCCCTCCTCTCCTAGGAAGGAATAAGGCTACTGAGCAATTACAAAAATTCTAGAAAAACAGCAAGGAAAAACAAAATAAATACATTCTTCAGAGTTTTAAAAATGATGTTCATCAAAAATATATTTCTCATGTGCATGTAAACATCCCCGTGCCAGGCTGAGGGCGTGTGCCAGCACACTGCACCCAGGGAGCAGAGCAGGGGGCTCCCCCCCTGCCCACCCGAGGGGCTCTCACAGCACGGGGGGTGTGGGGCAGCAGCTTCACAGCCTCCCCCCAGCAGCTGTCTCAGGAGAAAGGCTTTGAAGATGGTTTCTCACAGATGGGCTCCCTTGAAGTGCAGCGTCCTCGGCAGCCGGAACGGGCCAGTGGCTCGGCAGCTTTTTAAAGCATCAAATATTTAGAGTCAGCTCGGAGGAAATACTGACAGAGGCAAGCAAACAGCACGTTCCCGTGAAAGCCTGGCTCCTGCCTGCTGGGTGGAGTGGAACCCCTCCCAGTCCATCATCCCAGCGGGCTGGGGCACCCTCTGCTTGTGGCCTTTGCAGAGGAGCAGCCCGGCACGTGCTGAGCGAAGCCACGGGCCACTGTGAGCTCCAGGAGCTGCCCATCCCAACTCCTCAGCCCCTCTGCAGCCTGCCCACACCCCTGCTCTCCGGGATCCCCGCAGAGCAGCAGCAGGAGCAGCAGTTCTGGGCTCCAGGATTCACGGCAGGGGCTCCCCACCCTGTGCATGGGAGAGATCCCAGCTGCTGAGCTGGATCCCTCTCCCCAGGGCATGGGGATGCAGGTGGGGCTGTCCCAGCACGCACAGGAGCTGCTCAGCCGTGCCTGCACAGCCCCTCCCCGTGTCCTGCCACCATCCCTGCTCCTGCTGCCACCACAGGGGACAGAGCTGCAGCTGCTGCTTTGCTGCACAGCTCTGCCCACCTGGCGTGAGAGGAGCAGGGAGAGCTCGTCCACATCCACCACTCTCGGCCCAGTTCCCACAGCTTGCACCCCAAACAAGCAGAACATTCCCCAGAATGTGTCATTCCCTGATTTTACCCCCAGACTTTGCAGCCACTCTGCTGCTCCCAGGTGCCAGAGCCCACCTGACACTGCCCACCTGCCACCAGCACTGGCTGGGCATTGGGGCAGGCTCTTTTCCTGAGCCATTTCCTCCAGCACAGCCTCAGCTGGATCCACATCCTCCCCCTTGACCAGTTACTCCCAGCCCTCTGTGATTCACAGCTCTGCCTTGCCTTGGAATGCTAATGAGGGAAATGTTGATTTATGGAAGCCCTGATATGTCACCGCTGGATTAAACAGTCTATAAAGTATATTTGGACACATTACAGGATTAGGAGAACCCGCCTGGGAAGTTCTCTTCCTCCTTCCTCCACTCTCAGCCAGTTTCAAGGACGTGGCACCCACACCCAGTGGAGGTGCATCCCCAAAACCCAGCCCCTCATGGGGGACACTGCACGGGCCCCCAGCCCACCCTCCCTGCAGAGAAAAACCCCACCTTTCAGTAGTGGTACACCTTGATCTCTCTGTTTTCATCCAGCCCCAGCTGCAGGAGGCTGGGGCTGCTGCCTGGGGGCTTCTGTGCCCGTGGGGAGAGAGCTCTGGCAGCTGGGTGAAGGAAAAGCCTGGCTCACACAGGACAGGTACCAGTGCTGAGCCAGCCCAGTGCACACAGGCTGCATTTAGCCTGCTGCACCCCAGCCAAATGGAATTAGAGGGGGATTAGGGAGTCCAGAGGCTCAGCACGCTCAGGGCAGCACGGAGCCCAGGGGATTTGCTGCTGATAGCAGAGCACACTGAGGAGACACCCAGAGCCCACCCAGCCTGGCAGCATCCCTGCTCCCTGCACACTGAGGTCCCTGGAACCCAGCTACCAGATCCCTCAAAACAGAGCTGGAGAGAGCTCTGGGGGGAGCCCAGCCCTCCCTGCCCCAGCAGGGCTCAGTCACACACCTCCTCACCTCCTCCCAGGCTGCTCAGCAGCCAAGGGCTCGATCCACAGCACCAGAAGCAGCCCTGCAAAGCCAGAGCCCCTTCTTGCCCACCCCGTCCTCCACTCTGCACTGTTTAAATCCATATTTTTAAATGCTCACATGCCCTGCTCCAACTGCTCCTCTACAGCTGAGCATAACAACACAGGGAAAGGAAGGGAAACTTCCTCAGTGGAGTACAGCTCAGGGAGCAGCACTCAGATCACTCCTGCTCCATCTGCTAAACACCCCTGCAGCACCAGGCACTGGAACAGAGGCCAAGGCCTCGAAATTGCTGCTCAGTTCTTCATTTCACACCCCTCCTGCCACCCTCCTCCTACCTTCTGCAGGAAGCAGGAATGCAATTAAAGACCAGACCCAGGTAAAAGATACACTTTGGAATCCTTCTTGAAGCCTTTCAGCCATTTCTTGTTGCTCTCAATCATCCCCTCAATATTCCTTGTCTCTGGCTCACTGAACTTGGAATGCTGGAAGTGCCTGATTTGTTCACTGTGGCAGAGAGAGAGAGAGAGAGGGTAAGTGGGGAAAAAAAGAGGTCTGGGAAGAAATTATCCCAGAGATGAGAAAGTGATGGGCTGCTGAAGAAAAAACCACCTCCTCTAATATATCTACTGGTAGTTCACCTTTTCTCCTTAGTAAGTAGTTCATAGTAATTATCAAATTGTAATCTAATTGTTATGTGAGAAGTGGCCCAATCATCACTGCAGAGAAACAAAGCAGCACAGTGCAACTCAAGGAAAAAGGCCCTTACTCTGCAGGGACATAGCCCAGCTTGCTGTCCAGAGGCACAGGAGTCCCAGTGAGCGAGGAGAGCCCACCTGCAAAACAGACAAGAACACAGAGCCCACAAATCACAGAGCAAACCTGCCTGGGACTGCTCTGCTGCACGTCGGGCGTGCTGTCCCTGCAAGGGACACAGAGCCCACAAAATCCACATGGAAAATCTGCCTGGGACTGCTCTGCTGCACAGGCACACTGCCCTGCAAGGGACACAGAGCCCAAAAAATCCACATGGAAAATCTGCCTGGGTTTGCTGTGCAGCACAGGCACACTGCCCTGCAGGGGACACAGAGCCCACAAAACCACAGATAAAGAAATCCACAGATCAAACTGCCTGGGATTGCTCTGCTGCACAGGCACACTGCCCTGCAAGGGGCACAGACCCCACAAAATCCACCCTCCTCCTACCTTCTGCAGGAAGCAGGAATGCAATTAAAGACCAGACCCAGGTAAAAGATACACTTTGGAATCCTTCTTGAAGCCTTTCAGCCATTTCTTGTTGCTCTCAATCATCCCCTCAATATTCCTTGTCTCTGGCTCACTGAACTTGGAATGCTGGAAGTGCCTGATTTGTTCACTGTGGCAGAGAGAGAGAGAGAGAGGGTAAGTGGGGAAAAAAAGAGGTCTGGGAAGAAATTATCCCAGAGATGAGAAAGTGATGGGCTGCTGAAGAAAAAACCACCTCCTCTAATATATCTACTGGTAGTTCACCTTTTCTCCTTAGTAAGTAGTTCATAGTAATTATCAAATTGTAATCTAATTGTTATGTGAGAAGTGGCCCAATCATCACTGCAGAGAAACAAAGCAGCACAGTGCAACTCAAGGAAAAAGGCCCTTACTCTGCAGGGACATAGCCCAGCTTGCTGTCCAGAGGCACAGGAGTCCCAGTGAGCGAGGAGAGCCCACCTGCAAAACAGACAAGAACACAGAGCCCACAAATCACAGATCAAACCTGCCTGGGACTGCTCTGCTGCACCTCGGGTGTGCTGTCCCTGCAAGGGACACAGAGCCCACAAAACCACAGATAAAGAAATCCACAGATCAAACTGCCTGGGATTGCTCTGCTGCACAGGCACACTGCCCTGCAAGGGGCACAGACCCCAAATCCACAGATAAAAAAATCCACAGATCAAACTGCCTGGGATTGCTCTGCTGCACCTCGGGCATGCTGTCCCTGCAAGGGACACCAAGGAAACAGAGGGAGACCTTTGCTGGTCCCTTGGGTATTAAAGAGCAGGAAACAGGATCAGCTGCACTTCTGGAGGGAGCTGCTCATCCCTTATCCCCCTTCCCACCAGCAGCACCCACCCTCCCCAGCACTGGAAGCCAAAATTAGATGCTGCAGGCAACAAAGCAGGTGGAATGAGGCCAGGAGACTCACCTGGGAAATACCTGTGCCATTTCTCTGCCAGCAGGTTGTCCACTGACTGCCCTGAGATGGAGTAACCAGAGCTGGGCCTGCTGCTCCGGGCCCTCTGCTCCAGGGGGGACGCCCTGGGGGGGTTCCCCAGGGAGCTGCTCCCCCCCAGGCCTGCCAAGGAGGGATGGGTGGCAAGAGGGATGCCCTGAGGGGCTGTGGAGGTGAGGAGAGGGGGCTGGTGCTGGCTCAGGGAGTCCAGGAGCCCCAGGACCCCGTTCAGCTCACTGCTGATGCTCTGCACAGAGTCCCTCAGGTGCTGGATCTTGTCCTGCTGCAGCGCGGGCCAGAAATCCATTCTCAAGTCAGCTGAAGGAAGAAAGGGGAAGAAAGGGATCACAGAGAAGCCCTGACTAGAGCAGCCTGTGTGCAAGCAGCCCAACCCTCCTGCCTGCCTGCCCTTCCTGCCCCAGCACAACTCCAGGCAACCAAAACCCAGGAGAAAGCAGCAGCAGCAGAGAGGGAATGGCAGCAGCTTCTCCTGCCATGGTGAGAGGAAGGGGAAGCCCAGACCCCTGCAGAACAGCAATACAGATCTGCATGATCAGAGGGAAACCAGAGAGATTTTATAATCCACAGAGATTTAAAAGGCAGGTTCGCTCACAGATCCCACCCCTCTAATCTGCCACTCCATGCAGAAAACAAGTTTTTGCAATCAGGTGTGGTACCCAGAGCAGTGCCAGACCTGCACTGGACACAGCTGAGCACAGGGACACCAGAGAGGTGAGAGGGAAAGGCACAACAGGCCTGGAGCTCCCCTGCTGGGCACTCACATCTAGGCTGGCCCAGATTGACACTGGACGTGCTGTTTGTGTCCTCAGAGGTGCTCAGATCAAACGTCACCACCTTCTTGCATGCAGAACTCCTCAGTGTATCTTCATCTGAGAGCTGCTCAGGAGGAGGAAAACAATGCCAGTAAAACCTGCTGTCTCATCCCTGGAACACAAAAGCTACTGGAAATCTGCCTGCAGCTTGTCTACAGAGCTGGGCTGCAGGCAGGCACAGGTCAAGTGAAGGCAAACTTGTCTCCAGCCCCTGACAGCAAAGTCTGAATGTCCAGAGACTGCTCTGGCTCTCAAAGTGCAAGAGGCCAGAGCCAGCAGGCACGTGAAGCAGTGGTTTGTGCTGTAAATAACCTCACAGCTCCTGCAGGGCTGGGTTCCTGTGCCAAGGGCAAGAGTCTGACCATCAAAGGTCTGGTTCTCTTGCATCTGCTGCTGCCCTGCCCGAGGCCACGTGGCAGAGCCAAAGACCCCAAGGTTTGCCTTGGTCAGGAGAGCAGGCTCCATCCCAGCTCACAAGAAAACCTGCCCTTGGTTTCTCCAGGCTCAATCCATGCAGCTTTTCCAAGCTGCCTCCTGCAGCCACACACTCAGCAGCCTCTGGTGCTCTCACAGAAAGTGGTTCCAAAATCCAGCTCTGCTGCCAGCACCAGGAGAGTTTACCTCCTCCAGCAGCGAGGACTCCAGCTGGCTGAGCTTCTCCTCCTTCTTCTTCAGCAGCACCTGTCCTTTCTGCATGGCTGACTTCATCTTGTCCAGCTCCTTTGCCTCCTGCACAGACAGCAGCCACGCCAAGGAGGGAAATTAAACAGCAATGACAGGAAATAATGCTAACTAATGCTGTCAGCAGTTGGGGTGACTGTCATCACCTCGTCCTGCTCAGCACAGGGAGTGCTGCTGGAGAGAAATCACTCCCAAGCCCTCGAGGGTGTGGGAAGGGGAGTGCACAGTGAGCACATGGCTCAAAGCAGGTTCAGCCCAAGGAAAAGGAGCTTTCACCTCCAAACCCCCTTCCAAGAGGGTCACCAAGCCCACACCAACAGGGCCAGCAAGCCCACACCAAGAGGGTCACCAAGCCCATCCTAACAGGGTCCCCAAGCCTGCACCAAGAGGGTCCCCAAGCCCACCCCAACAGGACACGGCAGCAGCAGAGCTGACGCCAGGGCTGCGGGCACCGTGACACCCACCGCCCGCGCTCAGGCAGCGCCCGGGGCTCACCTCCTCCAGGCTGTGGCGCACTCCCTGCAGGAGCTGGGAGCTGTGGGGATCCTGCACGCTCCCCTGGGCCCTGCGCAGCTCCTGGCGCCACTGCAGGCTGGCAGCCCGCAGCGCCGAGCGCCGCCGGCGCAGGGAGCGGCTCTGGCGCAGCAGGAACTCCTTGGCACTCCGCAGGGACTGCCCCTCTGCCGAGAGGTAGCTCTGCACTCTGTGGGGAAAGGCAGGGCTGTGCTGTGCTGCTGCACGCCTCACACAGCCCAAACACGTGGGCTGTGCACGCCCAGGGCCAGAAGCAGGGCAGGAGCTCTCCTGGCACGGGGGTCTCACCGGTCGAGCGGGAGGTCGCTCTCCTCGGGGCTCTGAGAGGCTGGGGAAGGCTCTCTGGATGAGTGCTGGGAGGGACACAATGCAAAAATTAAGTGTTTATGGGGGAAACAGAAGGTCAGAGCCACCTAAGACTCCAATGATGTGACCACGGCACTGCACAGCACCAGGGCTGCTCTTGATGTGACTCTTGAAGGTAACAAAGACATTTCTATCCCTGCTTTTCATTTGAGTACCCCACACTCCTCTCCACCCACTAATAATAGACAGACACCTGCAAATACTACTGAACACACCAGCAAAGAGAAATCCATCTCTGCATCTGAAATGGTTTCACACAGAAGGAACAAATGCTGGGATTTTCAAGGGAGTTTCAGCCTCAGATCTCACAAGGCAAACACCTTCACAGGCTGCTTTACTCACAGCTTGAGGAGCTTCTCTCAGGTCTTCAACACAGAGCTCAGCTTTCTTTCTTGGAGATTCCACACTTTCTTCTGCCTCCAGTTCTTTCAGAGCCTCCTGCTTGCTCCTGATTGCTTCCTCCAGCTCTCTGCCACAGGAAAAAGCAACAGCAGAGGCACTTGATTAGCCTGCAAGGTGTCCAGAGTGAGCTCCAGATTCCAGCAGGGAGAGGGCCACAGGTGTGCAAGACAAAACCAGCAACACCATGGCTGGGCAGGGAAACTGCTTCCCACCCTTCCTGAGCAGCTCAGCCCCCTCAGGAAAACCTCTTTGCATTTCAGTGCCCCTCTCACAGCACCTCATTAACCACCCAAGGCAGGAAAACCTGACCTGCAGAGGTGAAGGAGCAAACTGAAATTCACACCCTGAGCTAATGAAAAATCCAGAACTCTGTGTCCCCAAGGGGCACCTCAGGATTCTGAAGGAACATGGCCCAGCACAGAGCTCAGAGGATGGGGAGAGGCCCAGGTTAGCTTGGAGAGGTTTGCCAGGGGCACAGGGCGGATTCTTTGGCATCAGAGGAAATTTCTCACACGCACCCGATGCGTTTGTGCAGCCTCTGGCTCCGGCTCTGCAGCAGCTCCACCTGGGCCTCCAGCTCAGCCTTCTGGTCCTGCAGCTCCTCCAGGGTCCTGCGCAGCTCCCGGATGGACTCCAGCAGGCTGGAGTGCTCCTTCCTGCTCTCCTCCAGGCGCAGCTGAGAGGCCAGAGCAGCTTCCTAGGAGAAAACCAGAAGGTCCCTCACAGCCTTTTCCCCAAGAGCCAAACAAGGGGCCCACAACTCACGGGATCCCAGAGCTACACACCCACACACCAATCCTGGGAGAACAGGACTGTTCTCTTTGGGGAGCTCAGAACCAACCCACCACCCAGCACTCTGTTTTCCTAAAGCAGTTCTGAGGTGCTGCCCTCAGCCCCAGAGCAGCACAGCCCCTCTCAGAGCCCAGCTGGCCGTACGTCTCTTTCCAGCTGCATCCGTCCGTCCTCGTCCAGCAGCAGCTGCCTCCTCCTCTGCAGGGACTCCTCCTGCCACAGGGAAAGGCAGGGCACTGTCAGAGCCAGGACACTGCTGATGCTGAGCAGCACCTCAGGCCTGAGTCTCAAGAGCACTCCAAAACAAGGAGAGTTGTCAGGTTTGCTTCACGACCCCTCTCACTGCCCCCCCAAAGCGCTGAGCCAGCCCAGAGCTTGGACTAGCACAGCAAACACCAGCACCAGGAATGCTCAGCCCTGCTCTGACTGGTGACAAAGCTTTACCTCTCAGTGGGATGGCAGCAGGAGGCCTGGCTGAGCTCTTCTGAGCAGCTCCCCATGAGGAAGCAGCCCCAGGACTGGCACGGGTCAGGGAAGCTCTGTGAGCCCAGCAGAGGACTCACCTGGCTCAGGAGCTGCTCTGATCTGGCCTGGATGTTCTTCATGCGGATCTCCAGCTCGTTCTCTGAATCCTGGAGCTTTCTTTCCTGCACGGGGAGCTGAGTTAAAGAGAAGGGCACAGGCTCCTCCCTCAGCAGGAAAACACTGGCTGGGAAGCGTGACCTGCCCCTCGTGTCCGGGCAGGGCGGCAGGGGGACGGTGTGGGGAGCCCCCAGGCCACCCCTCAGGAGTGCCCAGGGCCAGAGCACAGCCTGCTGCTCACCTTCTCCCTGTGCCTCTGCTGCAGGGCAGTCAGCCTCCCCTCCAGCTCTGCCTGCAGCCCCTTCACGTCGGCGTCGTGGAGCTGCCGCAGCCGCGCGGCCTCGCAGCGCAGCCCCTCCAGCAGCTGCGACCTCTGCCTCTGCTCCTGCCAGCCAGGGCACAGGGAAACACCTCTGAGAGACACAGGGACCTCCAGCAACAGAGCACAGACACAGGGGACACCTCTGAGAGACACAGGGACCCCAGCAATGCAGGACAGACACAGGGAAACACCTCTGAGAGACACAGAGACCCCAGCAATGCAGGACAGACACAGGGGACACCTCTGAGAGACACAGAGGTCTCCAGCAGTGCAACAGGGACACAGGGGACACCTCTGAGAGGCACAGAGACTCCAGCAATGCAGGACAGACACAGGAACACCTCTGGGAGGCACAGAGACCCCAGCAGTGCAGGACAGACACAGGGAAACACCTCTGACAGGCACAGGGACCCCAGCAGTGCAGGACAGACACAGGAACACCTCTGGGAGGCACAGGGCTCTCCAACAAAGCAGCACAGACACAGGGAACACCTCTGAGAGACACAGGGACCCCAGCAGTGCAGGACAGACACAGGAACACCTCTGGGAGGCACAGGGCTCTCCAACAATGCAGCACAGACACAGGGGACACCTCTGTGAGGCACAGGGCTCTCCAGCACGCAGCAGGGACACACAGCACCCACTGGAACCCAGCCCCTGACCCGTACCTCCTCCTCGTACTGCTGCTGGATCCGTGCCAGGGCCTCCCGGTGCTCCTCTCTCATCCTCTCCATTCTCCTCTCGTGCTCCTTCTCCACCTCCCGCCGCCTGTCGCTCATCAGCTCGCTGAGCTGCAGGGGTGCCAGGGAAAGAGGCTTCCCTGAATGGCAGCCTCCCTAAAATCAGCCTTGCACCCAGCCCAGGGCCAGTGGGATCAGGGATTGTGTCCTGGGGAGCACAAAGCCTTCACCCCGCTGAGGTGAGATGCTGAGGGATGTCCTGCCCCCTAAGGCAGGGGATGGGGCACCCAGAGCTCACCCCACATCTGAGGGGAGCGTGAAGAACCTTCAGCACAAAACCTCCACTCACCTCACGCTCGTACTCCTTCACTTTCAGGGCTTTTTCCTGCACTTTCTGATCTGCTCTCTGCAGCTCCTCACGTAGCTGGGCCTCCTGGCTGCTCTGTGCCTCTGCCAGCTGGGCTTGCAGGCTGGAAATGGCCTGTGAGGAAAGGCACCCACAGAGGCTGCTCAGCCTCTGCACAGGATCCACCCCGTGCCCTCGACAGGCACAGCCTCACCACCCCTGCCTGCAGCAGGGCCAGACACTGAGCCAGAGCAGAGCCACAGCTAGGGAGGGGGAAAATAAACTAACACCACCCTCCCTGGCTACCTTTGGCGACAGCATGAGGGAAAAAACAAAAACCAACAGTTTCCACTCTGAGGACACCATCCCCACCTCACGGTGCTTCTCCTCTGCTGCAGATCTCAGCTGCTGGAGCTCACTGGCAAACTGCTCTTGCAGCTCCTCTGCTGCCTGCAGAAACACCAGCAAAACACATGCTGGGAAACCTCTGCGTGTGGGGACAAGGTGCATTTGCAATTAAATTCTACCCAAAAGCATCAGCAGGCACAGCAGTGACCCCCCCTGCAAACGGGATCACTGCAAGGTGCCTTTGGCCTCTCTGTGCTTCCCCTCCCAGGGGATCTCCATGAATCCCAGTCATGCTGGGCTGCAGGGACTGGAACTGCCCCTCTGAGGACTCCCCAGGTCCCTCAGGACTGAAGCAGCAGCCAAAGAGGTGTTGGGAGCTGATGAAGTGGCTGGGGTTAGTTCTGATCTGATAACAGGGCTGGGGCAGACACACAGTGATCCTCATCTTGTCTTCAGATGCAGAGTGGCCATTGAAGTAATTGTTAGCTAATCACCACTAATAACAACTGGGGCAGCTCTCCTGCCCACCCCTGTGCCTCCAACAGCCCTGGCAGCTGCCCCTGGTGCCCTAAGAGAGCTGAACACTGCAGGTGTGAGTTACCCAACACCTGGCACTGCCCTCAGGCTGGCAATAAAGATCTCACCTTCTTCTTCTCGCTGTCTAACCTGCCCCTGAGCTGGCTCAGGAACTCTTCCTTCTCCTGCTCCAGCTTGCCCATCTCCTTCTGCTGAGCCTCCTCTGCTACCAGCTGCATTTCCTGCAGGGCAAGCTGCTGCTTCCTCTGCAGGCTCTTCTCCTCCACCAGCTGCTGGCATTGCCACTCTTCCCTGAGCTTCTGCAGCGTGGCCTCCTGCTCTGCCCTGGTGGGTTCGGAACAGAGCCCAGAAATGGGATCCAGCACTGAGGGGGCTGGGAGCTGCTGCCAGGGCAGGGAGGCTCAGAGCTCCTCTGAGCAGTGCTGGGGATGTGCCCAACCCTCCCAGACCAGCCTGCACACCCCGGGGATGGCAGCAGAACCTCTCACCTCATCCTCTCCTCCTCTGCCTCCACCTCTGAGGCCATTTGGGCTCGTAGCTTTTCCAGTCTCTTGGCTTTTTCCTCTCTGAGAAGCAACTCTTCCTCTTCCTGCTCAGATTTTGCTAAATCTTCTTCTGGGACGCTGACAGAAAAAAATAAAAAAACCCAAAGAAAACAGGTTCAATATCTCCCAGTCCCCTCGCCAAGGGCTTCAGCCCAGCTGGGGATCTCACTGCCTGTGGTGACACATTCATCTCCCCCCACAGCTGCAGGACCTGCTGCTGGCACAGGAGATGCAGCCCCAGCACCAAACCTGAGCAGTGTGGGTTTAAAACTTGCTACATCATCAGAGTTTACACTTCTTTTGGGGTTTTTTTTTTGTTCTTTTTTTTGCAGGTAAGTGAAATCCACTCTCATTAAATGGATGCAGGCTCCCAAGCAAGGTACCTGGATGTGTTAGCACATCTGGAAGCTCCACATTTCCATATTATACCTTTGGCTACACTTTTTTTTTCCCCTTCAGGTGCCATTTCTGCATCTTCCTTCACACCCAGACTGCATCCCCACGATGTTCCATGTCAAGATGCTGTTTCTGGCTGCTCACAACATAAGCATCAAGCCCAGGAAGATAACACAGAAACCTCAAGAGAAGAATTCCCCCAGGGAAAGGACACAGCTCCCAGTGCTGCTCCACCCCTGCCCTGCTCTCAGACCCTGCTGTCCCACAGCCATCCCTGCCAGAAGCCTTGTCTGGAAGGCCCTGTGTCAACCAGCCCCTGTCAGAGCTGCAGCCAGCTCCTCTGGGGTAAGCTCATCTCCTCTAATGCTCCCATTTCCAGCCCTGCTCCCTCCACTCAGCCCAGGGTTTGAGCAGCTGCCAGGGGGGAGAGCTCCGAGCACAGAGCTGGAAACTCCTCCCAGGAGGAGTTTGTGTGTGTGTGTGAGCACAGCTCACCCTGCAGGACGCTCTCCTGCCTCTCCTGAGCTCCTCTGGGTTTGCAGATCCCCACAGGCACAACTGTCTGTGCCAATGCCTGTCCTTCCTCCTCCTCCTCCTCCTCCCTGAGAGCCCTGACCTTGCTCCTTGCCCCAGCTCTGCAAAGCAGCACCACTTCCCAGGTGGTGGCTACAGCAGCACCAGGCTGTGGCCAGCAGCAATGAAATCCCACCTTGGAGAGGCCTGCAGGAGATGGAGTAAAAAAGGAAAGTACCTGAGGGGCTTTTCCTTTTGCTGATGAAGCTTTTCAGCTGCCTCCTCCTCCTTCTGCTTCATCTCCTCCTGGAACTGCTGGATTTTCTCCTCCTTTGCTTGAAATAAATGTATTTCCTCTTGCTCCAGGTCTGTCTCCACCTCCTGGGCTATTTCCTCCAGGGATTCATCATGAGAATGGTTCAAGGACTGCTCCATTTCCTTCTCAGCTTGCCTACCAAAGACAAAAAGCTCCTTTGGCAAAAGGGTGTCAGAAAACAGAGGAACATAAAAGGAACAGCGACCTCCTCCACAGAGCATCCACTCCAAACCAAAAATCTCAGAGCCACCTGCTCCAAAAGCTTCACTGCTGACCTCAGGTGCATCCTGAGGATCACTGCTGGATCCTGGGGGTGACTCCCAGACAATCTCCAGCTGACAAACTGAACCCAGCCCCAGCTGCACTCCAGGCCCAAATAACTCTGATTTTGGCCCACCAGAGCTCACCTTGTGAGGTCAGTAAAATCTCACTTGATGAAAAGCCAGGCACAGGAGCAGATGCCATCAGTACCTGCCCCCAGCCCAGGGATTGGTGCTTCTCATGGACCAGGTATTTTTCTGCAATTGCAACCTAAAGTGTGCTGGGAATTTGCCAGCTCCAGGCAACAGAAAGCCCTCAGCACTCCAAAAATTCAAACCCAATCTGGTTCTAATTAAGGTGTTTGGTTTTTTTTTTTTTTTTTTTTTTTTTTGTTTTTTCAGACAGACAGCAGCAAAATTATAAGCTAAAGGGGAAGGAGGGGAAAATTGAGATTAGTCTAGGAAGAAAGATTTTTGTTCTTTGCTAGTGGAGGCTGGAGCAGGAAGGTCTCACCATGCTGTGAGACTGGCAGTGCAAGGCAGAGGGACTTCTGCCAGGAATCAGGGAAATAACAGCCCCAGTTTTCCAGCCTCGAGTCAGGAGAGAAAAGGTCATTTCTGCAGCCATTAGCAAAAAGAGCAAGGCAGAGCAAAGTGTTGGGGCTCTGGAACGATCCCCCTCACACCACCTGCTGCAGGTGTCCTTTCCAGGCTGCTCTGCAGAGCAATTCAGCCACTTCCACCTGGTTATCACGTTGTTCCCTTGTCCAGCTTCTGCTCCAAAGGAGACCCAGCCAGCACACACAGAGTTACACAGCAGCACAGCTCCTGGGAGAGCAGAGATTCCTTCCCCACCACCCTGTCCCCAGAGACACTCTGCCTAATCTTTGCAGCTGCTTGTGCTGATGTGTCACTTGGGGAATGCAGAGTCAGCAGCTCACACCCCCCGAGCTGCTCTGGCTCAGGGAGCCCAGGTGGGGATCCACCAACACAGAGCAGCACAGAACAGGAGCTCAGCTCTGACCCCACTGCTTCAGTGCCACCAAGGTGGATGTAAAACGGGGTGAATCCATGGGGTTTTGCCCTTTTTGCCCAGCTCAGCATCGCTCAGGTTCTGGGGGGAAGTTTCTCGGGGGGTGTTGAAGACTCCCAGTGACACCAGCACGGGGAAGGCTTTCCCAAGGACAAAGCAGCAGCTCCCTTCATCCCAGGGAGCCCTGAGCCACAGCCCCCAGGGCTGAGCTGCTGCCCAGGCTGCTCCCCTGGCACTCTGGCAGGGGCACAGCTGCTGGCACGGGCACACAGCCCCGCCGTGCCCACCAACCGCAGCAGCACGGGGCACAGAGGGACAGAGCTGCCACAGCCCCACGCCAGGCACTGACACGAAGCCCTCACACATCCCGAGGGGCAGGAAGCTCCTCAGGATCCACCAGGCTGTGCAGGGCTCCCTCCTGCAGCTGCACAGCCCCTGCCCCACGGGGACAGGTCAGGATAGCTCGGGTCAGAGCCAAGAGCTGCTGCAGGAGGACAAGGGCGTGCAGGTGACACAGGTGGGCACCAAGCCGTGCCTGCCAACAGGACCTGCCTGGCCAGCACGGGGCTGCCAGTGCCACAGGGAAGCTCCATGCCGTTCCCAGCTCCTCATTTTGGGCTGAGGGGATCGTGGGTAGCAGCTCAGAGCGCTGGATCCCTTCCCTGGGTTGTCCCACTCTTTCCAGGCCCTTGGAGAACGTCCCCAAGGTGTGCCAGCCCCACCAGCCATACTCACACTGCTGTCCAAATTACAGATGGAAGTGTTGGCAGGCATGCTTGTGCCCACAGTCCTGCTTCATCTCAAAGCACAGAGAGGAGAGGCAGGGCAAGCACGAGCAGCTTCACAGGCAGAGAGAAAGAGAGGGTGCTCAGCTGGGAAGCAGGAACCAAGGGATAAGGAGACAATTCCTGCGGGCAGAACACGTTTTTGGAGACCCTCACACCAACAGCTCCTCCAAGAACAAGGCTGCAGGTCCCACAGAGCCAGTCATTAAGACGGGCTGCAGCTTCTGCTCACGAGTTTTCCTGGCACAGGCAGCAGCTCCTGGGGTCCCAGTGCCCTGGAGAAGGTGTAACTCTGTGGAGGCCAAGAGCTCTGACACCACTCAGCTGTAAATGCCAGGCTGGGGCTCTCCAAGGAGGAGCACAGAGCTCAGCATTCCAACTGCTCCCAACAAATCCCCACAGAGAGGCTGGGAACAGCTCCCCTGGACAGCCCAGTGCTCCTGGTAACTGGGCTCTGGAAGGCAGCATTCCCCCTGGGATAGCAGCTGGTGATGTGTCCCTGTACCAGGACACAGCTCAATGCTCACACCTGCTCAAGGCCACCTCTGTGGAAGGAAGAGAGCTGTTCCCATCACAGCTGGACTCTCCTGGCAGCAGGAGCAGACACCTGAGAGCCTTCAGGCACAGGCTCAGCCCAGCAGCACCACGAGGCTGGCATCAGGCAATGCCAGAGGCCACACCTGCCCTGCCAACAGCCCAGGCCCAGCACACATCCCCAGCTCAGCCCGTGCTGGCAGGAGCAGCGGGAGCTGGGAGGGAGGCAGAGGCCAGAGCCACAGCTGGGGCAGCCCCAGGGACAGCACAGGCTGGCACTTCACTGCCAGCCAGCCAGAAGCTGAAGCTGCAGAGACAAGGAGGAGGAGGCAGGAGCAGAGAGAGGTTCAGTGGGGAAGGCCCTGAGAGAGGCTGCAGCACCTGGGGAGCTGTGCAGGGCACACCTGGGCAGGGCACACCTGTGCAGTGAGCTGTGCAGGGCACACCTGGGCAGGGCACACCTGGGCAGGGCACACCTGGGCAGTGAGCTGTGCAGGGCACACCTGGGCAGGGCACACCTGGGCAGTGAGCTGTGCAGGGCACACCTGGGCAGTGTGCTGTGCTGGGCACACCTGGGCAGGGCACACCTGGGCAGGGCACACCTGGGCAGTGAGCTGAGCAGGGCACACCTGGGCAGGGCACACCTGAGCAGGGCACACCTGGGCAGGCTGCAGGAGCACAGCAGGGAGGAAGGCAGGAGGACAGCAGGAGCTGGAGCTGCCCACGCCTCCCTTGTGCCTCTGTTTGTACCATACCTCTCAGCAGCTTCTGCTCCTTTCCTTTGCTCTTCCTCCACACTGGCTTTGCTTTGGTCTTGTTCCTCTTCTCCCAGCTCCTGGGCCTGCAGGTGAAAGCAAACAGGGTGCAGTTTGTGGCTCCTTCACCATCAAAGGGAGTTCTGCTGAAGGTCCATGGAATCAGCTGGCCCACGTGGCACCCACAGGCTGTTCCAGAATGTTGGATGTGCCAGGCTCCTCTCCTGAGGGTGTCCAAGGGTCTCCAAGCATCCCAGGAATCCTTCCAGAAGCACAAGGGGAGGCCTGGGAGCTCAGCTTTCTCAGGATAAAAGATAAACTCCCTGCCAGCACTAAGAACTTGGGACATGGGTTTGGCTTTTCTTTCCTGAAGGTCACTTTACAATCCCAAATCCCACTGAACTCCCTGGAAATCATAGGAGAGAAATCTCCCAAAAGAGAAATGTCACACACACCAAGTGCAATGGAGCAAAGGATGAATTGTCTGGGACCAAAACCCACAGTCCTGCCTCCCATCAGGGTGTGATGGGCTGCACAGAGTCACCAGCCCAGGGATTCCTGACTCCAGGGTACATCAGCACGCCGAGCATTCAGTTGGCTCATTTATGGCACAGTAAATACTAGAAATATGACTGGAAAATATTTAAATGTGAAACAGTCAGCTGCTCCTTCCCCTCCTGCCAGCTCCCAGACCCCTCTGACCTGAGGAGGGGAAGGACTTCCCTGCTCACCTGTCAGCCCCACGGGAAGCAGGCAGGGCCCATTCACAAATTTTTGGGGAGCCCAGCAGGTGAGCTGAGCCCGTCCCACGCAGGGCCGAGCAGGGGGGGTTAACACTGCAGTAATTAATGCAAACTCAGCAGAGCAAATGGCAGAAGGATTCCCTGCAAGTGCTGTCACCTCCCATCACATCAGCCTGGGCCCCCTCCTGTCCCTGTCACTGATGGCTGCAAGTCCCCAGAGCCCAGGAGCTCAGCAAAGCTTCCCTGGCTGCCAGTGGGCTCTGGCAGCACAGCCTGGAATGGGAGAGAGACAGAAAACGGGGAAGGGATCATCCTGGAGAGAGGGGAGCTGCTCACAGGGTCAGCTCTCTGAGCCCTGGGGCTCCTGCAGGGGAGCTGCTCACAGGGTCAATTCTCTGGGTCCTGCAGGAGAACTGCTCACAGGGTCAGTTCTCTGGGTCCTGGGGCTCCTGCTCACAGGGAACTCCTCTGCTGCCCCTGTGCCCAGCAGGGCAGTCCCTCCCGAGGAATCCCTGCTGCAGGAACCTCAGGACACCTCGGGAAGGTGAGGCCAGCCCCATCTGCAGGAACGAGGGCAGATTTTCAGCCCTGCCCGTGGAATTGTCAGATCCTTGCCCCTCCAGGATCCCAGCAGCCCCAGCAGCTCTGCTTTCTGCATCCCCTCTCCCAGGTCCAGCAGGACACATCCCACAGAGCCTCTGCAGCCACCACAGCTTCTGCCAAAACACACCAACAAACCCCCAAACCCCTCCAATCCAATTCTCTGCTCACAGAGCTGCCAGAGGTGCCTTTTATTTTCCTTTTTTTTTTTTTTTTTTTTTTGAACAACAGAATATTTTGCCAATGAATTCAAAGCAAGGCAAGCTCCTCACATGGAAGTAGGCACATTCCTGCAGCCCCGAGCTGCTCCAGCCCAGCCTCTGTGCACAGACACAAAAGAGCAGCTGCAGTTCTGCAGGGAGCACCATTTCACACCCAGCTCTCCCCAAACAGGGCTGTGACAAACCCAAGCAGCATTTGCATGCACAGTGCCTGCTGGGGGGGAGAGGGTGAGCACAGCAGGCATATGTTTTGTTTTCCCTTCACATCTGATTGTGCTCATTACCAGGCACAAGAGGACAGGTGTATTCTCCAGACACAGCCCTGCAGACAGGATTGCTCCTCTCTGCTGGACAGGTGGGGACTTTGCCACTCAGCTGATGTGCTCACAATCAGGGCAAGGCTGAGTAACCCCAGCTGGAGCCTGGACCCTGCTCCAACCACGGAGACGGAGTGGGAGGGCTCCAGAGGAACGTGGGGCTGAGCAAACCAACTCAGAGCCGTGCTGAGCAGACAAGGATAAACCAGAGATGCACAGCAATCTCCAGGCAGAGCTGCCTGGCCAGCGCTGCACGCCAGGCTGGCACAGGCATGTGCACACACGTACACTCCATGTGCCACAGACTCCCTGAAAGGAGCCCCTTGCCCTCCTGCTTTAAAGCAGGCAAGGCGACCAAATGCTTAAAAATAAGCTTCCCTCTACCAAAATCTGTCAGAGGGAGTTAACCTCCTTTTCTTCCCATTGATTCTATCGTGCTCTGCCACACAAATCCTTCCCATCTGCTTAGGAGAAAGAAAAGGACAAATACAGTCACAAAGGAAGAAAGGAAAACAGACTCTGCTCCCTCCATTCCCTAGGAAAGCCATTTATTGGCTCTGCTGCTGGGGCAGGGACAGCACCCAGGGGAGCCTGCCTGTGTGCACCCCTCCAGCCACCTCTGCTCAGGGTTTATTTCTTTGTGTAGCCACCTGCACCTCCTCTCTGCAGGAAAACCAATGCACTGGTGCTGCTGCTGGGACCCCTGGCACTTCACACACCAAGCCCTGCTCACCTCTGCAAGGCCTTCACTGACAGATCACACCTCAGGGTCCCCTGCCCATCACACCTCAGGGTCCCCTGCCCACCACACCTCAGGGTCCCCTGCCCATCACACCTCAGGGTCCCCCTGCCCGCTCACAGAGCACCCCTGCTCCCCACACAGCACTGACCTGGCACTCAGGGCTGTCCACACCAGGAGACACAGTCCCCACAGCCAGAACCTCCTCAGACAGCTGGCTCTTGGAGTCCAAGCCCTGAAAGGGAAAGCAGAAAGGGTCAGTCTCTGATGAGCAACCAGAGATCCTGAGACCAATATCCCAGCACAGCTCAGAACCCCCCTCACCACCCCAGTGACAGCAGCTCAGCAGCATTCCCCTTCCCTGGGGGACCAAGGGACAGCAGTGCCACTCGTGGAGGGCACTGTCACACCCCAGGGCACCCTGCCATGCCACCAACCTTAGCAGGAGGGGGTGGCACAAAGATCACCCAAGGGGGCACACCTTCCCAGCCCCTACTGCTCCCCTTTGTGGCACTGCTGCACATTTCCAGGGATTTCTGAGCTCACAGCCAGCCCCCCAAGTCCTTCCCCCTTCGAGCCAGTCCCCCCTGAGCAGCTCTGGGGGCCCTCCACCCATGAGCCCACAGGAGGCAGAGCCCCTGGCCAGGCAGGCTGGTGGCACGCAGGAATTAATGACATTCTGAGCCATTTGCTGGCCACACTCTGCTCCCACTGCCAGATGGCACTGGCAGCTTCCTGTGGAGATGAAGAGCTGCTGATGGGCATCTCCCCCCAGCCCGGGGCTGCTCTCCTGCAGGGACCCTCAGGAGTGGGGTCTGCAGCCACACACAGCCCCCTCAGCAAAGCTGCTGAGCCCCCAAAGCACGGTCCTGACACTGCTTTTTATTTTCCTCTCTGCAGTCACCCAGGGAGGCTCCCAGCTCTGTGTGACCTGCTTTTGCAGGGATATCACCCCAGCCCCTGCCCCAGCCTGCGAGGTGCAGGAGGGCACTGCTGGCCTGTGCCACACACAGCTGGGCACTGCACTGTGCCAGGGGAGGATGAGCCCACAGCCAGGGAAAAAGGAGCTTCTGGTGACTCACCTCAGGCTGAGCCACCTCATGGTCAGAGCACTTGGAGACAGGCAAGTCCTGCTCACAGCCACTGCCCCCGGATGCCTTTGAAAGCTGAGAGGGAAAACACATCACAGCCTGCACATGTGCCCCTCTGCACGAGGAAAAACACATTACAGCCTGCATGTGCCCCTCTGCACGAGGAAAAACACATCACAGCCTGCACATGTGCCCCTCTGCAAGAGGAAAAACACATTGCAGCCTGCATGTCCCACCCTGCAAGAGGAAAAACACATTACAGCCTGCACATGTGCCCTCTGCACGAGGAAAAACACATCACAGCCTGCACATGTGCCCCTCTGCAAGAGGAAAAACACATTGCAGCCTGCACATGTGCCACCCCTGCAGCTTCACCTGGGCACTGCCAGCATGTCTGGCCTGTCCCAGGGAAGAAAAGGTGACTGAACATCATGGGGAAGATACCAAGGATGTGTGATCCACGGATGTGTGACCCACAGGACAAGCACAAAACACCACAAGGGCACGACGTGGGGCTGGGGAGGGCAAAGAAGTGCTCTTCAAACATCCCTGCTAAAAGGCACTTGCCTCCTGTCCATCTGCAAGGATCTGCAGCTCCCAGAGCTCCCAGCCCAGCACGCAGCACAGCACTGGAGCCATCAAAGCACTTTAAAATTCCACTTTGCTGTGCCTAAGTGCAGCCAGGGCCCCTGCATTCCCAGGCACTTGCAGCTGCAGGGAACTGCTGGGTGGAACAGCCCGTGGCCCTGCTGAGCTCAGCAGAGCAGCTCAGGTGCACAGAGCACAAGATGAGTTTGGGAAAGCGGCGCCCTCGGCTCCGCAGGGCAGAGCGCGTTTGCCGGGCTCGGATTTGTAGTTCATCATTTCTTACAGACATTACGCATCAGTGAACTTGAGAAATCATCAAGATCAGCAGGAAGGCAGCCAGATTGGAGAGAGATGCTCCATCAGATCCCGAGCGCTGGCTCGGGTCCCGCTCTGGAGCGCGAACGCGAGCGGGCAGCGCGCGCCTCCAGCCCGGCTGCGGGGCCGGGCAGCGTGTGGCACAGCCCCAGCCCCGCTCCTGCAGCCTGGCCAGCTCTCCTCGCACTCTGGGAGGGCTGGCAGGTTCTGTGCTCCCGGCTGCAGCTCCAGAACCGGCCCCGAGGCTCCGTCCTGCCCCGCTCCCAGCTCGCGCGGACGCAGCGCCAGGCAGCTCCGAGCGAGCTGAGACAAACGACAGGAGAGAAACAAAGCAGCACGGACAGCTGGGCTCGCTGTGAGCTTCACTCCCAGCCCTGCTCGCCCAGCACTGGGGCTGGGACTCCTCCCAGACTCAGAACAGGGGCTCTGCAGCCCAGGGCTCTGCTGCCGCTGGCTTTGGGCAGCCCTGGCGTGGGCAGGGGGAGCGATTGCCCAGCTCAGCCCTGAAGGTGCCCACCTGGCAATTCAGAGCACTCCTGCCCCCCCAGGAACGACTGCCCTGCTGACCAGGAAAGCGTTTGGACTGGCTTCACAGGGAAGCAGTGCTCCACGAGCTTTCCTGAGTCAGGGGCTGATGAGACGAGGGGAACAGCCAACAGCAAACGCACACAGGCAGGACTCTTACTTTGCCATCATCCAGCCTGGCCTCTGATATTGAACCTGCTGCAGCTTCTTCCCCCTCTTCCTGCAGCTCCTTTTCTGCACAGGACAGGGTGTCAGCAGTGGCAGCCAGGCTGGCTGGCTGATCTGCCCCTGCCACGGCCAGAGCAGCAGCTCGGGGCTGCCCGGCAGAGCCACGCATGTCCAGCCCTGCTGCGCTCCTCTCCCCCTCACACCGGGGCAGCTCCTCAGCTGCAGAGGCGTCTCCTTCCACCTCAGCATCTTCCTTGTCCACTGCCTGGTCCCCTGCAGGCTCCTGCTGCTCGATGTGGGCAGACAGGCTGCTGTCAGCCTCTCCAGAGAGAAGCTGAACCGGAGACGGAGGGCACGCAGCGCCAGAATCCAAGGAGGACTCTGGCACCTCTTCAGGATGTCTCGATTTTAAGGATTCCTTCTAGGCAGGAAACACAATTATAGACCCAATATTCTCCCTGGGGGAAGCAGGAGTCAGGAACAGCACAGGCTCTTCTACAGCAAGCAGCAAAATCACAAATCTTTGGGTGACTTCAAGACCTGTCTGACTTCTATTCACACAGTCCCGTTCCAAGGCAAGGGACTCCACAGATATAATCTCACTCATTTCTTGAGCTCTGACTGTTTTTGAGCTGTTGATTTTCTATTTACAGGCTTTCAGTGGCTAAGCAAGGCCACCAGCCCCTGTGAGCACCCCACGTGCCCCACCTGTGCTTCCACATTGGATCTGTTTGGTGAGAGATGGGAATTTGTGGGAGACCACGACAGGACATTTCCCTTCTGCCTGACATTTCAGAGGAGAGCAGGCAGGATCACCATCCCACCTTCCAGCGGGACAGACTGGAGGGTGGGCACTGACTGAAGGCACCACTCGGAGCTCAGAAAGAGCCTGTGACTAACACAGGAGGCTGAGAGAGGGGGAAAAAACAACCCCAAATTAAAGCTTGGTCACCCAAAGGTTCAGCTGCCTTTCCCAGCAGCAGGGAGGCCCCAGCAGTGCCCAAGGAGAGGGGAACACCAGGAGAAGGCTCCCTGATCAGCATGCAAACAGAGCTGCTCACACGTCCCACCTCCTCACTGTTTTATTAATGCCTTGTCAAACACTCCCTGCATCCTGTGCACGCCGTGTTCTGTACACTGAGCGCATATTTTAGCAGTGTATTTTCATCAGAGTGCCTCTGGAATGCTGTCAGCTCCCAGGCCAGGGCTGCAGGGCTCTGGGAGCACGTTCTGAGTGTGTCACTGCTCTGCCACCCCTCCCCAGGGCTGGGAGAGCATCCAGCAGGATGGAGAGGACAGGGCAGTGCAATTCCAGACACTTCCCAAAAATCCTGCAGCTCTGGGCCTCACCTGCAATGCCCTGGTTCTGGGAGCTGCCAGCCCCTGGCCAGCAGAGCCCCAGAGTCACCAAGCAGCCCCAGGAGGCTCCCTGGGGACAGCAGGACCCAGAGCAAGGTGGGCACAGGGAAGTTCTTTAGCCACCCTCGTGCTTCCCCTTTTAGGGGGATTAGGGTGGAAAGTCATGCTCCTTTTGCACAGCTTGCTTCAGAGTTCTCCTGAGGACGTGCCACCAGGAGACCTGGCAGTGTCCACAGTAACCCAAATGAGGCCAAGCAGGGCTCTGGTGCTTGAACACAGGATCACACACACCCCCAAATGTATCAGCCCCCCAGCAATGGTGTGCACACAAAAGGACTCCCCTCCAGGCAGTGCACCTCAGCTACTAAAATATCCCAGGATAATCTCTTTGGCTGGCAGAATCCCATTTTAATGGCAAGAAGAGGCAAAGCTTTTGTTAGCCTCACACCTTGATGATCACAGAGGCAGAAGAGGGACCCGTGCCAGTCAGACCCACAGCAGGAGGAGGAAGAGGAGGAGGAGGAGGAGGGAGGTTTTTCCTCCTGCAGCAACAGACTAGAGATTTTCTGTGGATTTCAGAGCTGGACAAGCCAGTTGGGTTATAACTGCCTTTGGGTGATCTTTTCACAAGCTGTAACATCCTACCCACCCTGAGTGGCACCAGCTGATGGGAAATCCCTACTCTGCTTCCAGTGAGCAGCACTGAACTTTAACCAGCCACAGGAACAAGCCAAGCAGCTGCAGACACACACCACAACACCAGGAGCTGCCTACTGCATGCAAAGCCTGGCTGGCACCGTGCAAGCAGGACAGGGATGCCAGGGAGCCACTGTCACCTCTCCCAGGCTGGCAGCTTCCTCCTCAGGGCTCCCGTGGGGCTGGGGAGCAGCTTCAGCAGCACCAGCAGCACCAGCTGGTGGGCTGCCACGCTCCTCCTGCTCCTCCTTGCTGTTCTCCTGGTTGGGGGGACACAGCCTCTTGCAGAATTCCCCAGCCTGGAGGACTCGCCCACCCACCAGAGCAGAAAGGGAGCTCACAGGCCCAGCTTCCCAAACATCAAGCTGTTGGATGCTTCACTGCTGCTTTTCCTGCTGGCCAGCTCCATGAACTCACTGCTCCTGCAGACCCTTCCCAGCTCTGGGCTCCCTGTGAGCCGTGTCTGCTGCTGCCTCCCCTCCACCCAGCATCCTGAAACCTCCTGTTTCCTTTGAATCCAGGCATCCAACCCTGACCACGGGCTACAGGAAGCCAGTTTTTGTATGAATTCACCCATTACTGCTCAGATTTCCCCCTCGGGACTTGCTACACAAACCCTTGCCTGCTGCTCTGCCAGGGAGCTGGAGAACGGCTGGGGAGCAGCTGAGGCTCAGTCCCAGGAATGCTTTTCTACTGCCACCTCATGGAACTACACAAGAACTCTATTTTCCAGCAGGGCACTGCTGTCTTACCAGGACTAGGCAATCACCCATCTGGGTGAGCAGCCTGGCTCTTGGGCAGCAATTGCCACTCCATGATGGATTCCCAAAGCCCCATCCCCGCGGCACTGACATGCCAAGACAGCTCTTTGTTCCTGCAGGCATTAACATTTCAGTGAGGAATTGGGCCCCCACAGGCTGCTGTTGTCTGGAGATGAGAGAGTCAGGGCTCTCTTTGTCACATCCACTTTAGCATAAGCCTTTGCAGATCCTGCCCAGCACCCTGAATAGGTTCTCCAGCAAAGTGCTTTACAGCTTAATTTTCGTGTGCTGTGAAAAGGATAAGGAAAATACTCTAAAACACTTTAAAAGAAATTAATTTGCCTTTCAGATACTGGAACAGGATTTTCAAAGCAGTGAGAAAGGATTAATGTCAGCACAAACAGTCGGGCCAAATCAGCAGAGCTGCTTACAACGCACTTCCCATTGTGCCCTTGTCATCTTAAGCCTGATCCCAGCTAAGGAAGCACAGGGAAAGCTCAGCCTCTGCACAAGGCCTTGGGTGCACTGCATGCTCTGGGGCTCAGCCATGGATTTATCAGCAGGGGGAGAAGAAAGAGGAGCAGGTTTTGTGCTGCCACAGACAGACAGCCACGTGCAGCCCCACGAGGATCCCTGTGGAAGCCAGTGACAGCACCAGAGCATTCCCACAGGAAATTCCCCTCTCCCCTCCCCAGGGACAGCACTGCACTTCAGCTGGCAAGGAGCCTTCCTCCCCAGCCCTGGCAAACAGAATGGAAGTGCCTCTTCCTCGTGGAGCCTGCCCCCACACCAAGTGCAGCAGCACCTCTGACCCCAGACCCTTTTCCTGCTGCTCCCTGCAAAAGCAGATTTCCCCCTTGCCAGCTCCACCTACTTGCCTTCATTTTTCCTGTCTGAGGATGGAGCAGAGCTCCAGCCTGTGCAAAGATGTCTCCTCAATCCCAGCTACCAAACCACAAACTTCCCAAGCACAAACTTCCCTTCAATGCCCACGCCAGTGTCCCCTGGGGGCCACACCTGGCTTCTCACAGCCCCCAGCCCTGCTGCTGAGCCTTCCTCCCCAGCACTCTGCTCCAGGCTGTTCCTGCTCAGAGGAAACTCATCCCTCTGGCATTATTCCTGCAGCCTGAGCCCCTGGCAGTGCCTCTCCCACCCGGGCAGCCTCCCCTGCCCATCCCATCACCGTGGTCTTACCTCAAAGTCAAAGCTGCCTGCCAGGGCTTCAACGTCCAGGTACACGTTTTTTAACAGCCTTGAGGTCCCATGGAAACTCTGAAGGATTAAAAAAATAAAATAAATGAATGGGCAAAATGGAGTTCTGACCTGTGCACTGCCACAGGAGGGGCTCCTCAGCAGAGAAATGAGGCAGCAGAGCCAGGGCAGTGCACCCACAGCCAGTCCACCCTGGAGTGACACCAAGGCAGATGCTCACTTATAGGGATCACCATGTGAAAATAGGATCAGATGCTTTTTGGGGACCAAGCAGCACAAAGAAAAGAGAGAACAAATGAAAGCCCAGGGGCAAATGGAACAGCCATTGCCAGGGGAGCACCAGGAGGCTCCAGCACTGTGCTCACAGCAACAGCCAGGGCACACAAATACCTCATTTTCACTTTCTTCATCTTCATTTCTCCATTTCTCTGGCACTGCCACGTTCAAGGAACTCTTTTCTTCACAGATCAAATCCAGCAGGTTCTTGCTGTGGCTGCTGGGCTTTGGGATCTCTGCAGGCTGAGAAGGCAGGAGGCAGAAAAGTGAGGGGTGAGACAACAGCACAGAGAGACCCATGAGACCCTGAGCTGCTGGGCTCTGGCAGGGAGGGCAGCTTCCTCCCACTGAACGTGTTGGTTTATTTTTGAAGCTGTTTATGTCTGTGTTTTGCACACATTTTGCTTTGCTGCCCTTCAAAGGGTCAATTTCTTACACTTTAACAAATAAAACACCCAGGTCACTTTCTAGTAATAAACAGACAAAGCATTCCACATGGCTGTAAACCTTACACTCATCAGGACAACAGTTCTTTTAATTTTATTCTCAAATAGAAGAGTGAAAATAGTTTATTAAATTGTATTATCTGCATTTTTTGTCATGTTTTGTTTGGACACCAAATTCTACTAAAACTCAACACACTTTTTTTTCCTCTGCAACAGTTATTGAAACAATTCTTTCTACCTGCCAAACCAGAAGAAAGATCACCACTAATTTAGCACTAGAGATAGAAGAAGAGAAGAAACAGAGTTTTTTAACACAGAGCAGTGTTTCAAAACTGACAGAAGATGACAGATGCTGTCACTGAAGTGTCCCCACGCCCGTCACCCTGCGCAGGGTGCTTCCCAGGGCACATTCCCAGGGCAGAGGGAGCCTCACCAGCGTTCCTTCCTTGGGGCCGAGGCTGGAGTCCACCACATTCCCCAGGTCCAGGCTCAGGGAGCCACGGAGGGCGATGGAGGAGGACGGGGTGAGGCCACGGAGAGGAGAGAGGCTGCCCAGGGGGGGCTGGATGGGAGCCAGCTGGGAGCCTGGGGGCTGCAGAAGCACAGGGAAGTCACTGCAGGACAGCACAGCTGACACTGCTGACCTTGGAAGGGACAAGGAGCTCCCCTGGCAAACAGGGGCTGACCCTGCTCAGAGACCCCACCCCAGCAGCACACAGCACAGGGGGGGAACAGGCTTTCAATCACTCACACACCTTGCTGAGCAGGTCCTGAATACTCCTCTCCCTCCCAGACACACCAGTTTTGGGTGTTTACTACAGAGTGTCTTCCAGCCAAATCCAGAGGTGATGCTGTACTCAGTGCTCCCACCCCAGCTGATTCACTGCCCACCACCCAGGTCTGGGCTCACAAGGCACTTTGTGTCCTTGGAGCCACTTGTCATCCTCTGCCCAGCCCTCCCCAAAGCACTGCAGGCAGAGCCTACTCACAGGGAGCTGCTTCAGGAACTTCTCCTTCTTGTCCTTCTTCTTCTCTTTCTTCTCCTTCTTCTCCTTCTTGTCCTTCTTTTCCTTCTTCTCCTTTTTCTCCTTCTTTTCCTTCTTCAAGCCTCCCCGTGCCAGCAGCTTCTCCCTCTCCCTGATGACCAGCTGCTTGTAGTGCTCATCACAGGGGTGCTCCCACGTGGAGAGGCCGCTCTCAAAGTTGAAGAAATAGATGTCACCCCCTGCAATATCCTGGCTGCACGGCAAAAACAGCAGGGAAAGGTGAAAGAGCACGTTAAAAACACAGCAGAACATCTTTGCTGATGGTGGGAGCACCTGAAGCTCAGGGAAGAGGAGTGTGATGTGTGCAGGAGGCCACCAGTGTGGGAAGCAGCTCTCCCAGGATGCTCATATCCAGCTTCTCAAACACTTCTTCCCCTTCTGCTGCCACCCCAAAAGCCCTGAGCTCCTGATACCCCACCAAACCCAGTCCTCTGCCAGCTGGAAGCCATTCCCCTTGTCCTGTCACTGGGAATGCCCCAGCACAGCTCTCACCAGGCCTTCCACTCGGGGGGCATTGGGGTCACCAGGCACTCCCTGGCCAGCCACAGCAGCTCAGACTCCTTGTCGGGGTCAATCCCAATTGTTGGTGCAAAATCCCGGATTTCTGGGGAAACAGAGATCAGTCTGTGAACCCGGCCTGCCCAACAGAGCCACCCTGCTCAGCTAAAGCTGCGAGCACACTGGGAAACCCAGCAGCACAGTCCTGTGTGCCTGTGGAGCCCGTCCTGCCAGGCTGGGGACACGGGCAGTGACACTCAAGGTGACATTCAGCTCTGCCTCCGCTAAAACCCCGCGTGCTCCGCCCTCTCCAGCTGCTCCAGACCCACCCCCCGATTTCTGAACGCACCTGGAAGCCACCTGCGTGCCTCTATCCCTGCTCCCAGCCCCTGGGAAGGAAGATGGGCCTCACTCACCCTGCTCCCTGGGAACGTAGGATTCATTGTAGTCCTCTTCCAGGATGAGCTGGTCCCCAATGCGCACGGCTCCTGCCATGGGTGCCACGCCTGGCAGCGGGGAGCAGCCAGCTCAGAGTCACTGCTGCCCTCAGAAAAGGGAATTGCTCACCCCCCAGCACATGGCAGAGCCCTTCTGCTGCAGCACAGACAGCAAAGGTGAATCACAGAGCCTCCAGACGCTCCTCCATGGGCTGTGGGAACAGAGAGCACAGCTGAGGTGGAACAAAGTTATAATCAGATCCCCCAGGCCTCCCAGTTCCTGCAGGAAAGATGCTTCAGGCACTTCTGAACCAGGTAAAAAATAAGCTGCAATGAGACAGGGAAGAAAGAGAAAGGAAGCAACTTTCCCAAAGCATTGCTTCGTGATTGAACTCCCAGCCCGTCCAGCACGGTTCACGCAGCTGGAGTTCACCCAGCCCACCCCAAACATCCTCAGCTGTGGCTCTGTGTGGCCACATTTGGCCAGAACAAGCACGGGGGGACCAACAACTGCTGCTCAAACACACAACTGAATGCCAAGGTCAAACATTTCAGCCTAAACCCCCCCAAATTCTCAGTGCACAAAGCACTCCTCTGCTTTCCTCGTGAGAGCCAGGGGGTGGCACGTGCCAGGTACCCCCAGTGACAGCACCCAGAGCAGGATCACCCCCTGTGACACGGCCACCACTGCCCTCTTCAGCTCCCTGTGTCCTCAGCCCACTCTGTATTTATAACTCTTATGTAAAGTCTCAGAAGCAGCAGCTAATCCCGGCACTTTCCAGGTGAAGATATTCTCAGGAGATCCAAACCACACCAGCACCACGGAGCACGCACCACTCCCCCTCCCAAACATCCCCAGTCAGAGCATCGGGGTGTGGGCAGCTCACTCAGGGCCTTCTGTTCTTATTTTCCTCTCCCAAACTATCCCAGCCCTGTCTCCCATCCCCGGCCTTGGCACTGGGGGATGAATTATGGACTCACCCCTCTCCTGGAGAATCTGCCTCGCCACATACGGGGGGATCTCAGTGTGACCTTTCAGGGCTTGAGGGGCAGCTGTAATAGATGAGGACAAGGGGAACGGCTTTAAACTAAAAGAGGAGGATTTAAGTGAGATCTGTGGAGGGGAGTCTTTCCTGTGAGGGTGGTGAGACCCTGGCACAGGGTGCCAGAGAAGCTGTGGCTGCCCCATCCCTGCAAGTGTTCAAGGCCAGGCTGGATAGGGGGCTTGGAGAGAGCTGGGATAGTGAAAGGCCCATGCCCATGGCATGAGGGTGGAACTGGATGATTTTCAGGTCCGTTCCAACCCAAAAAACCGTTCTACAGTTCGGTGCAAACAGAACCGAAGCCTCGGTGCAGCCGCCGCCGCGTCAGCCCGGAGCTACGGGAAAAGCGCGGCTGGCGAGGACGACAAACAGCTTTGGTTAACAGAACATTTTAAAAAGAGAGCAAAAAGCCGTTTTCACCCGCATCACGACAGCACGCACGCCACACACGCACAGCCCGAGCCCGCGTGGGGCGGCAGGCCGGAACCGCGCGGCGCGGGGCCGCTCCCCGCAGCCTCCGCTCCCCGAGGGGACCCTCCCGGGGCCCGGGCCCGGCCCCTGCCGGTGTGGGCCCGGCCCGCCCGCCGCTCACC